GGTATCGCCCACCTGCTGTAGCACGTATCGCACCTGCTGGTGGGTGCAGCTCCCGCATGTTCCCTCGTTGGAGGCTTGAGCACGGATGTGGCTGCTACGGGGTTCCCCGAAATACTATAATGACAATAAAAAAGGGCCTGAAAGGCCGTCCTGTCCAGATTGGACAGGTAATTGAATAGGTTGGGCTTAAAGAATTAGCCTTAAGAAAAAAATCAAAAAATTACAACGTTCGCATGTCACGATAGCAATCCCCAGAGGTCACCAGGCCTCGTATCCGCTCTTCAGGACTTTTTTTATTACAACGTTCGCATGTCACCACCCCTACAGCAAATGACACGAGGCCCAGGTATCCCGTCTTCTGTCTGTCTATTCATGGTTTCTTTTTGTAAAGTTTCCTTCATTATTTCAACGCACGGTCATTACAGCTGTATTTTTGGGGCATCTTTCAGTCTAAATACTCTATAATGACCGTACGTTGTATTCGGGGGAAAAGGGTAGTCTCTTTCCTGTTTTTTTTTTTTGAAATTTGGATCATTTCTCGATTTATGCGTGTCATCCTTGCGCAGGGGCCATGCTAATCTTCTCTGTATCGTTCCAATTTTAACGGATGTCCCGAAGGACGGTAGTCTCTTTCGGAGTAATGATCTTTGGTTTCTTTTCTTTGCCACTCGAATGCATATGGTGCATCTTTGGAGTTATGTAGGCTATGCTCAGCGGATGATGAATCGGCGAAGTACCAAAAAAAAAAAAAAAAAGAATCGGCGAAGTCTCACGCTCCCCCGGTAAGATGAACTTGCGCCTTTTTTGGTTTTGATTGGACAGCGGTGTGGAGAGGATGCCATTGGTAGGTGATCTCCCGAGCGCCTGCTGCAATTGACGGGATCTCCTACCGTGCGAGGACAGGTCGCGGCTGGGCGGGGGTCCGCTGTCCATCTGGTTATCTCCATCCCTTTCCCTCGTGGTGGGAAGAGGGTCGGCATAGACCTCCAGAGGGGTGGGTGAGGGAGTGTGAGGAATGCTGGAAATAGGAAGAGGGGAAGATTGGACACTCAGACCAGGACATTTTCCACAGAGCTATGGGGAGGATTGCTGTCAGATTCATCCATGCCGTAGTTGCAGTCAAATGCATTGTGGAAACTGGTAGCGTGAGTATGCCCTTATTTTTATCTCATCGGCTGTTTGATTCTTTTCACTTTCCTTCCTTTTTCTTTTTTTTTTCTTCTTTTTATCAGCCCTTCGACGGAGCGAAGGGCCGTTAAAAATTGTTGTAAGCTGCTCAGTGTGCTCAGCCCACGGTATTCTTTAGTAAAAGGCGAAAGAATAGTACGCCAAGTGAGCTGGGCACGCAGCTGATTTTTCCTTCCTTTTCCATAACCCCCCTACTCATTAAGTTGTTGGGACCCTAACATTATTGCCTTCATATTATTCCATCAGAGGAGGGGTCCAGCCCATCAGCACGACCCTCAGTACTTCGTCTTCGGATTTTTCCGTTCCTTCCATTGCACTAGGATTGGAATTTTCGTCCCCTGAACTGTCCACTGGTCTCAGAATAGATCCCTCGATTTTTTTTATTTTTTTTTTGTGAAACCTTACTCCGGGAGTTCCCAGGAGTTTTTGCACGAAAGGAAGCAACGCCGTCTTTTCGTTCCCAAAGCAGCTCAATGTTTCTTTCTCTGTTTCTTTTTTCATGAGCCACCCAACCTTGGATGCCAACCAACGGTCGTGTCGCAGCTGGTACACCCAATGACCCCTTCAAATGCAGAATCAAGTACGAATCCAGACGCAATCAGATGAACAGAAACATTTGATGACGGCGAAGTGAAGGAAGATCATGCGTGCCATTGCGTGGCTCGCCAAAAAAAAAAAAAAAAGGGAAACGTTGAGCTGCCCTGTGAACGAATGGATGGCGTTGTTTCCTTTAGGCGGAATTTTTTTTTTTTTTTTTTGGGAAAACTTGGCAGAAAAAACTAAAATTAACCAAAGGATTTTTTTTTTTTTTTTTTTTTGGAGCTTGCCCTTTCCTTTTTTTTTTTTCTTTTTTTTTTTTGTTGTAAAGAACAACGCGAGCGGATGCTACCGTGTTCACCCGAATAGAACGCCTGGTCATTATAGCTGTATTTGGCACAACCTTCGGTCCAGATGCGGGGATGATGACCCGGCGTTCTATTCGGGTCTTCATAGGGGTGCTGATAAGAGCAGCCACCAGCCGCACCACTAGCACTGCCGGGGAGGCTCCATCTATTGGTGGGGACCACCACCTGCTGGAAACCGGGTCCCCAGCCTCCCTGAACATTGTATTTGTGTGTGCGAACACTGAATAGACATGCAATTGTAATGACAGCAAGCTACTGGGCTCACCTACAAAGTTTGAAGTTTGGCAGGTAGAGCTACACAGCAGCCTGAGTCGCTGGCCGACATGACAGCCTAAGGTAGGAGATAGTATACACACAGCTCCTGGCTTAGGAGCATGCCCATACTACCACGCTCACAGAAAAAGAAATGCTGAGCTCTTCTCTGGAAACCAAAGGATAGGAAACTCCTTCAGTAACTCTCTAGTGATTGCCTCAGAAACCATAAACACACTAGTCTACCTTCTTGACCGGAAAACTGCCATTTCATCAAAATGGACTTTTCTGTTTTTTTTTAATAATAACCCATGCCATATGTCTCGTGGAATCTGAGGATCAACTGAGGGCCTGACTGGCCGCCCTCAGCCCAGGCCGAAACGGGGAAAAAAGACCCCACACGAATTCAGGGCCTGGACGTGTCACAGTTGACCTTAAGTCAACTGTAGGTTTACCCAACAGTCAAAGTCTAAAGGTACCTAACCCAGGCCCCTGGTCAAGCACACACACTTGTTTGTATGCAGGCACCCAGACAGCATAAGGTCCAAGGGGAAAGTCTGCAACTGTACGATCCCGGCCTTCGGCTGTGAACCAATCTGGACGACTGAGGGAAGGAGACCTGAGGCCAGAGAGCCTCGCCAAATGCTACTTAAAGACTGGCCTCGAGGTGGTCAGCATTCAGTCTCTCTATGCTGCTTTGACGCTGGCTTGACTTTGACTGGACGCTGGCATTATGCTGGCGCGACGCTGGCTAGACGCTGGCTGTGTTCAGGTGATGCGCAGGTGATGCGGGCGACGGTACGAGGCGGAGACAGCATGCTGGCGCCTTCTGCATTGTGCGCCAGGCTTGCTGAGGCGGCAGGCTGGCGCTACCTCTGGTCTACATCACCTGCTGATGTGGCGCTACTACTGGTCTACAGGGCATGATGATGTTGCGCTGCTTCTGGTCTACATGGCATGAAGATGTGGTGCTGCCTTTGGTCTGCATGACGTGCTGATGTGGCGCTGCCACTAATCTTCATTGCTGATGTGGCATATGCCACCTGTCTCGTCTGCTGACGTGGCATTGCCCACGCTGTCTACATGAGGTGACAGGCTGCGAGGAGGAGAAGATCGGGATCTGTGGATGGAGGTCGGGTACTCACCTGAGGTTGACGTAGTCACTGGAATCTGCTATGTCTCCACTGTCTTCACAAGATTGAGTGCCACGTGGCACTATTGTGTGTGATCGGGAATATACTTATTATCATTGTTGTCGTGGAGAGGGAAGAAGCCCGGAGCAGTGAAACCGCGCGCTGATTGAGCACGGGGCGCGCTCGAGTTTTTGAGCGCGCTCAAAACCGCGCTCGAGCACGGCTTGAGCGCTTTTGCGGAGAGGGTGTTTCGCAATGTGCTGAGTGGTTGGCAGGGTGTGCGAGGTCCCAGTTCGCGGGGAGCGGTAGGGCGCAGGGTTATGGGCCTTCTGGCCTGTTCCCGACGTCGCAGGAGGCCAGGCTCAGATTGAAAAAAAAAAAAAAAAAAAAAAAAAAAAGGCACAAAGGCTAGCACACAGCAAGAGAGAGAGAGAGAGAGAGAGACCAGAGGGTTCCCTTTTCATCAATTTAGGGCCCCCTGCCGGTGACTCAAATGACTCCGACAACGCACTTAGGCATTGTGGAGACTTTAGTACCACTGCTTCAGCAAGCAAAGTGACCACATCACAATGAAAGAGGTAGTAGCAGACCACCAATATATACTGTGGCGTCGAGTTCATATCTGTAACTCGGGAGTTATGGGTCACCAATTCAGCTAGATCCTGTTCCTGTCTCCACGTGATTCTCAGGGCCTCCCACCCCCACTGACCAAATGTATATAATATTGCAGAACGAATCTTCTGCTAAAACATGGAACCATGCGCCTCCATGTGCTATGTCTTTTGTGCATGTGGTGAGTAGTGGAGAAGGCCCAACTGTACGTATTTGAAAGAAGAAAACAAAAAAGCGAGAGAGAGCTACGGCATCCTCCCTCCACCACTCAGCAAATGTATATAATATTAGTAGTACGAATCTTCTGCTAAAAAATAGGACCATGCATTGCCATATGCTATTTCTTTTGTGCATGTGGTGAGCAGTGGAGCAGGCCCCACTGCACGTATTCATAAGAAAACAAAAACAAAAAATACGGGCATCTTCATCCAAACCCATAACTGCCGACATGCAGACCTGAACGCCAATCTTCAGAATATATTGGTGGTTGGCCACCTGTCGAAATGCAAGTTGTGACTTCTGCGAAGTTCGTGGGGCAGGTCGTTAGTAGGTGACCATCCCCTTCTTGCGAGCTTACCTCACTACTGCCTGGGATTGGCAGAAGGGAGGGGTCAGGCCAGTATCTATACCCCACCAAAAAAAAAAGTTGAAATGAGCTCCATTTTATGCTTTGCCGTTTTGAAACTTCTGGGGGTAGGGCCTGCGGCAATTGAAATTCTGCAGCCCTGGTCCAAAAAACAGCCCACCCCACCTGTTACATGCTGTGCGTGCACACGCAGGCCATTTTGCAGGCCTGCGTCCGTTCAGGCTAAAAGCCTGACCTTCAGGCCGAAAGCCTGAAATCCAGGGCTTATAGGCCCCATGTCGGTTCAGGCCGAAAGCCTGACTTTCAATCCCTACAGCCACGGCGACGGTTCAGACTAAAAATGGTAATAGCATTTTTAGCTTGAACCCAAGGGCCATTTTCGGTCATTCATCAAAACGACCAGCCCTGAAACTCAGGCACCGAACCAGGGTTTCGGGAACAGACTATTAATAGTCTGTTTCCCACGCCAGCCTCAAGCAGGCTGCTGCACGCCAGCCCCTGGCACACCTCGGCATTGGCAAGAGTTGCCTCCTCGGCCTGACTGGCCTCCAATAGTCAGGAGGCAGGCCGAGCTAGTACATAGGACTTCCCAGGCACTTCCGAGGTAGGCAGTTGGTCAGTTGTAGTCTTCAGGATTCGGGAGCAGCACTCTGGAAGGAGCGCTGCAGTGTAGTAGTAGTAGTAGCGTTAGCTTGTAGTCTTCAGTGCTGGGCGCAGTAGGTAGCTGTAGTCTCCAGCGCTGGGCGCCATAGCTAGG